GGCAGAAAGGTCATATCTGAATCTAGCTATGACACTTAATAAGCTGGGTGACCTTGGGAAAGCTATTAACTGGATCTGTTTCCTCTTCTGTAAAACATGGAGAACATGACCCATCTGTCTTCCAGAGTTGTCAGAACAATAAGAGATGACACATGTGAAATGTGTGAGAGGACATAACATGGGCATTCATTAAAGGAGTTCCCTTAGCCTTTCTATAAAAGTACCAGTTCATTTGATCATTCAGCGAATTTTCTCTGAGCACTTACTAAACGCCGGGAATTGTGCTAATGTATTGGGAATACAGTAGTCAAGACAAGATCCCTACATCTATGGAGCTACGGAGACAGATAACAAACATGTAAATAAATATCATCAGATTCTGATAAATACTATGAAGAAAATACGATAGGATAATACGATAAAGAGTAACAGGAGGGAAACGGGACTGTCTCATGGTATTTAAGGAAGGCATTAGGGATTGAATTGTACCCCCTAAACTACATATGGAAAACCTAACCCCTGTATCTATCAACATGACCTTGTTTGGAAATAGGGGTTTGCTCTTTTTATGTTAATGAAGTCATGCATGAGCAGGCTGGATCCTAATCTTAATCACTTCTGAGTTATAAAAAGAGCAGAATAGACAAAGGGACACACACAGGGGAAAGATGTCTTATGAAGACAGACACACAGATGTATCTAGAAACCCAGAAACTCCAAGGATTGCTGGTAGCTACTAGAAAGTGAAGTAGAGAAAGACCTCCTGCTAGAGCTGGCCCCCTGAATTTGGACCTAGCCTCCTGAACTGTGAAAAAATAAATTTTATGTTCTTTAAAGTCACTCACTCACGGTATTTTTTGTTGTTGTTGTTGTTATGGCAGAACTAGGTAACTAAAACAAAGGCTTCTCTGAAAAACTGACATTTATTCTGAGACTTGAATGAGAGCAATGGAACCAGCCATCCCGTCTGCAGCAGGAACAAACTTGGAATTTGGGAGGAACAGAAAGGCGGCCAGTGGAGCTGTCTGCAAAACAGGGTAGGAAATAAGGTGTGGTCATGGCCTCTGTAGGCCATAGAAGGCATCTGGAATTTATTCTAATTGTAATGGGAGGCCATTAGAAGATTTAAAAAGTGCCAGAGTCAATTATATTTACTTGAGGGACAGACAAAGGCACAATCTTGACGTATTTGTGAAATGTAAAAAACCTGTCCTGACTAGAGTGTAGAATGCCTCCTAGAGAATCATGTAAAATAAGGTTATGCTAGATAGCATAGTCCAGGTATGGGTTTAGGCCTGATGTGATCAAAAGAGGATGTCATTAAAGGTTGTGACATGAAGCCAGTGTTTTAGTAATGTTCATTGGATTGTAGCTTGTAGAATAGTATGGAGAGAGAACTGGTTTCCTTTTCAAGGTAGCAGACAAGAGATAAAAAACAGAATATGTCCTCCTGGAATGCTTTCTTCCTCCAGGATATTAGTACTTAGATGCTGACATTAAATGGGCTCATGTACAGAAAGGGTACAAGATCAGGCATGTAGAAGACTCTCAATGAATGAGAATCCTTCTCTTCTTTCTTCCTTTTCCCTTGCATTGAAATGTATCAGCAGCTACTGGTATGAAATTCCTAAAAGATGACTGAAAAGTTGGCAACGGGCAAACGCAGGAAGCAATCTCTGAAAATGCAGTGCATGGGTTGCCAAAACTTTTAAGGATTCCATATTTCATGCCCTACCGTAGAGTTGTAGTTCCAAAGAAAGGTCCTCTCAGCCAGGTTTACAGATTTACTTTTTAAGTAAAATAACCTTCAAAATAACAATAAACCCAAATTCACAGATGCTGGATCAAGTGAGAAGTGTAAGGATGTTACAGCCATTGTTCTCTGGGCATGGAAGGGGAGGAAAGTAGTATGAGACAATACAGCAAATTTTTAGAAAAGGTGTAATTAATTGTTCTTTTTTATGTAGTTCTTGATTCAGACAAAGCTAAAAGTAAAAGTATCTTGGGCTTCTCTTGATTGGTAACAACATCTGTTCACTTTCTGGTCTTTAGAAATAAATATGCTACTATTGCATGCATATGAGAAGGGAAGGGGCAAAATGGGTTGGAGTTAAAAAAAATTTGAAACAAGTTTGAGATAGTATAAGTCTAATATTTCACCCAAAAACCTAAAACTCAATTCCATTTACACATGAAGTCAAGTTGGAACCCCTGGAACCTACACATTTATTTATTCTTTGATATGTATCTCAGTAGAGTCCAATCCTACACCTTAACCGCCTGATCCAGCCACCACCATCCTAAACCAGCTTAGGTCAACAGCATGAAGACCTCTGAGGCATTGGGGTTAGATAGCTTAAACCAAAACTAAAACCAAACCCGTTGTTGTCGAGTCAATTCTGACTCATAGTGACCCTATAGGACAGAGGAGAACTACCCCATACGGTTTCCAAGGAGAGGCTTGGTGGGTTTAAATGGCTGACCTTTTGGTTAACAGCCAAGCTCTTAACCACCGTGCCGCCAGGGCTCCTACATGGCTTACACACAAGATTTATCTACTCCAGTCCAAGAAAGAATTAGGTTAGTCCTTATCACTCTCTCAAAGTACACATTTGCTCTGAAGTTCTTCCAGACTCTCCAGAAAAGTAAATTTTAATGCAGGTATTAAAGAAGACGAGGGTCTTCTCCAGTTTTGGATTAAGAGTTCCATTTAAACCAGGCAAAGAGTTCTCCTTTTGGTCTCGAAAGGTTTTGAAGTGTTAACAGGGAAAAATGTAATCTAATCTCTTCAGCTTGGGGCCTGCCCTGTTTACATAGTGGTAGGTCCATATCCTAAAACTTTCTGATCACCATAAAAAGGTGAAATAAAAGAGAGAGATATGGCAAACATTCGAAAATCAGTTACAAGATAATTTCCCTTATCAGCAAGTAAAGCAGTGAAATTGGGCAGCCACAGTACAAGTATGAAAAACCAACTGGATAAAGTAGCCACAAAGGCCCAGATGCAGCGCTATGTCCACATTAGAAATCAGGAGAAAACCAGGGGCCAGGACCTGAGGGGTGAGCCTGACACTCAACGCAGGGAGTGTCGGTGAAGGCACCACAGGCCCTTTGTACCACGTTGGGTCTGTCACTGCCGTCAGAGATGCTAAAAGGAGGTGCTCTGGCTAGAATATTAGACAATTTCTACTGCCCAGACCACACAGGCCCATCAGTGTTCAGGTAACATCAGCAGATCCTTCCCCAGGGCACCCTGCTGGAAGGTTCTGCAGAGAGCACTGCACAACCAAACACCAGGCCTGCAGTTTTCCTAGACAAGGCAGCCAGGGATGTGACGGGTTGGTGGAAACAAGTCTGTATGATTGGATTATACAAGTGGCTTTTATGTAAGTGAAATCTGGTAAAACAGGAAGTAATTAACTCAGTGTTTTAGATAAGAAAATAATGTATTAAATATTTTCAAATGAATACACACAGCTAAACATTATGGAAGAGCACGGAATTCAGTCATTTTCATTTAACCAACAAATAGTACAATTCAAAAACATATTTCACATGAGCATATGTATGTATGTATGTGTGTGTGTGTTCATTCCAATGTAAAGTTGGACCAAGATCAGCTTCTTAGAACAGTTAATAAGAACTCTATCTTACAATCTTCATAAAAATTCCATTTGGATGTTTATACTAAATAACAAAATTCTGTGTTAAACAGGTTGTTTCCCTGCAAGATTGATCAGAAGTTTTAATACGCTAATGGGTTCTGTGACTTTCCAAGAAGGGGATAAAGTGTGCAGTTCTAACCGCTTTAACCACAGAACCACAGGACGGGGTATTTTGCTGACCACAGTGCCATATAATACAGTTTTGGAAATGCTACTCTAATGCATTTGGTACTGCTCTACAACATGTGAAAATCATTGCATGCCTCCTGAGAAACGAAGAATATGAACTATATGAAGTATTAGTTCAGAAAATTGAGAAAAATGATCAGGTAACCCACGTATCAGGGTATCTATCTTAAAGAGTAAATTAATCAATTGGCAATGCATAAAACAGAGTTACGCATGTCAGCCAACGACGGTGGACTAAAATCAAGTAAGTTCACTGCACATTTGACTAAGCGAAATGAGGTCTTTAGCTGCAATGTAAATCCACTGCTTTCCCCAAAGGAAACGTGCTTTAAGTCAAAGCTTCATGTGAGAGACTGCCAAAAATAATTGAGACTAGGTACTTTACTGCGCAAATAAAATAAAAAGTCCTGTCCACAGCCAAAAGTTCCATCAGAAAATAAAAAATTCAGCCTCGGCATGGATACGAATGCTCACCCTTTACGGTCCCGGCCAACTGTCCTGCTCTGAGATTCTTTGGTGCTGGGCCCACTGCAGTACTGAGGAGACAGAAAGGCATCTAACACAGACTGCCTTGGAAAACAAGGCTTCTGCAGCTTCTCCAGAGCACAGAACCCAGCCAGCCTATGCCTTCCCACTGTGAAGGAGGTGTTCAAAGCACTGTCAGCTCAGGGGCAGAGTCAGCCCATAATCATACCGGGGCTGATTATCCGGACTGGCAGTAATCTGTGCTCTCTCTTGCCTTGAGCCATTCGCTGTTGCCCACCTTTATCTTCTGATAGGTTAACACACTCAGCTGCTAATCAGAAGGTTGGAGGTTCAAGTCCACCCAGAGGTGCCTGGGAAGAAAAGTCTGAATATATACTTCCAGAAAACTAGCCACTGAAAACCCCAGGGAGCACAGTTGGGGTCTCCATGAATCAGGATCAACTGGGTGGCATCTGTTTTTGTTGTTGTTGTTGTTGTCTGTTAGAGGAGAGGGTAGACCCAGGGAAAGTTTAAGGAATTTCACAGAATCGAAAAATAAAATAATAGAAAAAGAGTATAAAATCATAGGGGTTTGGATCCCAAGCAAGAATCATGGCCATTTTGGCCTGAAAAACCCAGGACAGACACAAAAGACAATGGGAAAAGACCACCAATTAGTACCTTCATTCCCGCTGCGGCTGCGGGGCCGCTCGGGTCCACAGCCTGGATGTGGCAGGGCTTACTTCCTCGCACCACAAAGCCCCAGCCAACCGCATCACCAACAATCTAGAGAGGAAAGCCACAATTAGGAACCAGCAGACCGGGTCTGGCAATCTGCTTGTCCTTTCAAGAGCGAGAAAGCCAGCCAAGGATTAAGTACGTGTTATGACATATCTTTTCTCCATTTCATCTCTTCCTTACCCGAGGAATGGAATGCTTTGCTTCTCTCACAAACACAGGCTGATATAAGTTGGTATATCTCTGCAGAAAATGTGGTCGAGAAACCCACTCCTGTTTGGCAGAAAGACCCTTCTTCTGCAAGGGTACAAAATAAATAACTGGCAGATTGCCTCTTTCTTGGGCTGCTATACAACTTAATCTCCAACTCAAATGGAAGGCTTAGAAGATCTTAAAAACATAGTTGAAATTTCTTCCCAGATCCAATTTCTACTCCAAGTGTGTTCTATTCCCCTGGGTTCAAACAGTACATTCTTGATGATTTTGGTACGTCACTGAGGTCTAAAGTAACAATTTAAACTACTAACAGTGGGAAATATAAAGACTCTTGGCTACGTTGAAACACAATTTTCTCTACAAAGAAAATAAATTGAAAAAGTACATGAAGTTCACATTTTACAAACAGACTTCTAACCAAAAGTTGTTTGGGACTGGAGCATGCATTTTCCTATAGAATCATTATAGAACTGGCAGCTATGTTCCCTGGGCAGCTCCCAGACATGTCTTTTATCCACAACCCAACTGAAATACAGATGAAATGTATTCACAATCAATTACCAGCAATGCAATTTAAATTAAAAACCAGAAGTAAATGCATTTAAAATATAATCAACTACCTCTTGAACGCTGGTTGTCGAGGAAAAGCGAGGAAAAGAATGAAAAATTTTGTGGAAATTCTCAAGAAGACTTTTAGGCACACTTCAGTGACTTTAGGGTTTGCTTTATTAGTTGACTACATCTCATTTCACTTCCACATGTACAGTTGTCCTTTTTCTCTGATACAGACCCATTACCAGTGCCTCTCTCATATAGGCCAGCTATGATCACAGTGGGTTTTTTGACTTCCAAATCCAAGAAAGTGAATGTGCGAGTGCCCGAGGGCAGGAGCTGGGCCTGTCTTGCTCTGACTCCTCAGTGATGGGGAACTTGAAGTGGCCCTTTGACAAACATTTGCGTTGTGAGTGAGTGTGGAGAGAACTTTCCATGAGGTAAGGGGAAAAAAGTTAGAAGACTGAAAGAAATAAGAGAATCGTTTTAAAGAGGATATGGATGTAGGCGTGAGGAGACTAAGTGAAAGAGCCAACGGGAAGGGGGGTGGGTGAGGTGATACCGATCAGAGCACGCTGATTCTGTTTGAAGAGAACCAATCGGTCTGATGAGAGTTGGAAAGAAGGCAAAAGGTGCAAGGTAGTCAGGAGCTGCTTACAGGCACGCAGCGCTCACAAACCAGGTGCTTGTAACTCAAAGCATGGCAGCATCGTCAAAAGCACCATTCCTTATTTTAGGACAATTTATCCCATGGCCTCCTTCAATGTCTTAAATTATTTTTAGAATTAACTGTAATTCAGAAAGAATGAAAATACTTCATTAAAATTGGTAATTACATTAGACTAACCACAAAATGGAAAATTTTTTTTAATAAAAGGACACATCAAAAAGAATTTAAAATGCAGCATTAACAATAAAGCACGTGACGTCTTAATCTTTAACGAGTGCAGTTGAGATTTTAGTGCCTAAGGATCAAGAAAGTCTACTCTTAAAACTGTGTCAAAAACCAAAAGACAACACAGAATGAGTTTTCAAATCAGTCCATAAGCTACACAATGACACATGCACGAGGCAGAGAAAAGCAAGCAGCGCAGGGAAAAAACCAAACAGTAAGGGCCTACCGTGAATGTCTTCCTTGCGTATGGAGCCCCAGGAGTTAGGAGTTCCTCAGAGGTGACAGGTCTCTTTAACACTGTGAGACAGACACAATGTCAAGGAATAAACACTTCTGAATCCCTCCTTCATTTATTCGTTCAGCAGGTATTTATTGAATGCCTCATATGTGACCACCTGTGAACAACACTGGCAAAGACCCCTGCCTCACAGAGCTTACATTCTAGCTGACAGAGACAGAAGATATCAGCAAACATAAAAAGACCTAACTCTAACTTACCGAGCCTTGGGAAAAGGAGAAACGGAGCAGGGCTAAGGGGAACAAGAGTGTCAGGGGGAAGGGATGAGTTGAAAGTTTTCTAAGAAGAGGCCATGGCTTCTAATTCTCATATTTCTTTCTTTTAAATCCCGACATGCATTTATAGATGTCAAAGTTAGGAGAAAATCTGATTCTAGTGGTCTGATAGCCATATTTCAAGAACTAATCCCACACAACCCACCTGCCCCAACATACTGTATACACCCCACACACCAAGGCTTCACATGTGTCTGTAGTAATACCCAGGATTGCATGTTCACACTTGAGCAATAATACTAGTAAACTTTTCTGAGTACTCCACATGTGCTAGGCACTATGCTAGGTGCTTAAATATATTATCTCATTTAATCCTCACAAGAACCAATGAGTTAGATTCATCATTATCCCCATTTTATAAGGAAACAGATGCACAGAAAAGTAAAATAGATTGTGTCCAAGGTCCTGGGGCTAATGTGCAGCAGAATCAAGATTTAAACCCAGGCGTTTGATGCCGGATCCCACACTCTCACCCATGAAGAAACAGTGCCACAGTGGCCCTCATGTGCTATGCTGTCTCTGCAAGGAGAAGCAAGGGCTAAGAGGCTGCAGGAGGCAGTGGTGTGGATGGCCTACACGTACGGCCTTCCTGACTATTTTAATAAGCACCTTCTCAGTTAATGGCAATGAAGTGCTTCTTGTTGAGGTGACAGGCTGGGATTATCATTTTTGGTTTCGGAAAGCTCATAAAAGAGAAAATGAAATTATGTTCCCTAAACAAAAGGGAGTAGGTCAAATAGCAAGATGAGGATATAACTTCCCAGCAGATGGACATGCAGTAAGAGAAGTGGTCAGTGTTTGAGGACTGAGACCTTTTATATTTCCTGTCAGACAACTCTGTCCCCCCCACCCCCAAACCCTCACGGGAGAGTCCAAGAATTCAGATACAAAAATCACACTGTACTGCAATATTTGGCAACAATATTGATCATTTATTTTATTATATTTTTCTCTCTTAATTATATTAAAAAATGTAGAAACTCTGAGGCCCGGGAAGTAATCCTTTAGCTTTTTCTTTTTATAACTTTGGAAACTTCTTTGCTTATCACAGCTACCTTGATGATAGTATATGGTGATATCTGTAGCATTTTCCCATCTGGCTATCGGCATTCATATATATATATAATACCACAAGTAATAGTTCCTGGTGTATATATGAAGTTTAATTTTTAACTGCCTCACTATGAAGTCCAGATTACCTGCTTGAGGGAAAAAAATCACAGATGAGATCACTGGGTCTTGGGAACCTTTTGCTAGTGAGGGAGAAGCTCGTCAGAATATGGGTAACAGGTGGGACTTACACGTCACAATTCAATCCTGACAGCTCCGGTCCTCAAAAACCCAAAAAAGGCAATGAGACCTTTATTTTCTGCCTGCCTATCAGTAAGCTTTACCCTTTGATCCAAGGGGCAAAGGAAAAGAGGAAATAATACTAACATATCTCAAGGAACATGGGTGTATCATTCATTTAAGTAACTTTTGTTCATATTCTACTATCATATGCAATCAAAAAAACATAAAATGCTTCTAGCACATTTGGTCCCTTTCTGAAACTGAGATCTATCTGAGCTTAAAACATATTAATTATAAAAATAAATTTTTCCTTCCTCATTTTACTTTATCAGCAATGCCTCATTAATTAAAAAACCCAGTAATGCATGGATGCTCAATGACTTTTCAGCCAGAGTCAGAGTGGAAGCCAGTTCTTCATTCTCTTGAAGTTTACAACTAACCCTTGAGCAGGTGGTAAAAAAAATGTTAGCTCATGAAAAAGAGCTACCTGCCTAGATAATGTCACTTGATAATAGAGTTTCCCCCTAAAGCACTTTGAACAACAGCTATTAGCCTTTATTCTCACTAATATATATATATATATTTTTTTTTTCCTCCAAAGAGAGGGTGGGCTTTTTGAGAGAAGAGGTTATGGCCTCTCAGCTTTGTATCGCTAATGTTTGGTGATGAGGTAGAGCAGGAACAAGATAAACAAAGTCTCTTCCCTAGAGGCGCTAAACCGTCCTGGCCACAGAGAGCACACTGAACAAATGGACAAGTAAACTAATGGTATGCTTGATAAGTGGTCTAGAGAAAAATGAAGCAGGACTATGGGGAACAGTGTGTGCCAGGGGTTGTGAGTATCTTTCTTTTAGTATGAAGGAGTCAGGACACGTTAAGCAGACACATGAAAGAAGTGAGGAAGTAAACCATATGGCTACCCAGGAGATGATTACAGGCAAGGGGAGAGCAAGTGTAAACACCCTTGATTGGCATATTCAAGGAATGACAAAGAAGGTGCTAGGCTACAGCAGAATGAATGAGTAGAAGATGTGGTGAGAAAGGCAGGTAAGGGTCAGATCAGGCAAAGCTTTGTAGATCATAGCAAGAACTTTGTTTTTTACTCTGAGACAAAAAATAGCTGAAGAATATTACACAAAGGACAGGACTTAACAGTGTTTTAAAGTAGCATTCAGGGTACCTTATTGGAGAAGGAACAGCCAGTAAGGTAAGAGGAGAACCAACAGTGGGCAGTGTGGCAGGCAGAATTCTAAGATGACCTCAACACACCCTTGTATAACCCCTTCCTTTGAGTCTGGACAAGATTTGCATTTAGCCAAGAGATTATGGCAAAGGTGATAGGGTAGTCACTCCCTAAATTAGGTTACAAGATATTGCAAAGATGCAGACATTTTGCAGATCTATTAAGGTCCCAAATCAGTTGATTTAAGTTAATCAAAACTTAAAGGTCTTGCCTAATCAGGTAAGTCCTTGAGAATAAGGCATAGAGGTCAGAGACTCAAAGAAGCAGAGACCTTCTATATCCCTTGCTGGCTTTGCAGGAGCAAACTACTAGGAATTTTATACTGATAAGGAAATGAATACTGCCAACAACCTGAGGGAACTTGGAAGCAGATCCTTCCCTAGTTGAGCCTCCAGATGAGAATGCAGACTGGCCAACACCTGGACTGCAGCCTGATGAGACCCTGAGCAGATGACTCAGCTATTACATGCCTGGACTCCTGACTCACAGAAACTATGAAATAATAAGTATGTGTTACTTGAAGCTGTTACATGTGTGGTAATTTGTTATACAGCAATAGAAAATTAGTACAAGTGTCTTGGAAGCCAAGTCAAGAAGAAACCCATTGCCATCGTGTTGATCCCAACTCATAGCGACCCTATAGAATAGAGTAGAACTGCCCCATAAGGTTTCCAAGGAGCGGCTGGTGGATTCAAACTGCCGACCTTTTGGTTAGCAGCCTTAGCTCTTAACCACTACACCACCAGGGCTCCAGTCAAGAAGAATGGAGCGATCAACTGCTGCTTGGTCGAGTAACATGGAGACTAAGAATTGATCACTAAATTTAACATTATGGAAGTCACTGACAGCATATCCTTTAAGGCTGCATTTCTTTCAAGAAGTTTTTGAAGAAAGGCAGTATAAAAACAAAGTGGTAGCTGGAGAAGAAGGTGGAGGTCAAGAAGGGGGTATTTCAGGATGGACATATTACTCTATGCTTGTATGCTGATGGGAATGATCCAGCTAAAAGGGAAAAATGATGGTGCAAGAGAAAAGAGGAACAGTTAGGATCAAATGTACTTAGGCAAGGCATGGATGGTTCTTCTATAGTAAGCAGGGAAGGTGGAGTATATGAGTATACATGTTGGTAGAATAACAGATATGGGTGTGGGAGCTTGTGGATGTTCTCTTTAGATTATCACTAATTTCTCAGTTAAATAGGAAGACCTTTAGCTAAGAGGAAGGGAGAAGAGTGGACTACAGGAAAAAAAAAGAGGAAGATAAAATAGTCATCTAGGAGAGTGGGAGAGTAAATGGACCAGGAAAACGTAGAGGGACTATCAGGCAGCACTACTGGCCCACTTAAGGTGAGTTGTCATGAAATTAAAGTGAGACCAATGGGCAGGGTAGGTGTTTTCCTCTAGCCCAGTACAATTGTATGGGTGCAGAGAGAGTAGGAAAGGAGTTGGATTCACCCAGGTTCTAAGTTTTGCAAGTGAGTAAGATAAAGGATAACAACAAGCATAACAATGATCATGAGAATGGTGCAGGACTGGGCAGTGTTTCAGTCTGTTGTACAAAGGGTCCCTAGGAGTCAGAAGTGACTTGACAGCATCTACCAACAACAACAAGATAAAGGAGAGGGGCAGGGCCAAGGGAGGGGAGGGTGTTTTCAAGACTGATTATGAACCATGCAATCTAATCCCAGGCAGTGAGGACAGGAAGTGACAGTGAAAAATGGGTGGTATCAGTAGATTACAGGTTCCTGTGGATCGAAGAACTGATCGGGTCAGGGAAGGATTGTTTTTATACACAAGTTCATCACCAGACTTTGTGCCTAGATTTTTTTTCTGGGATGTAAAAGCCATGGAGGTTTATGAGTTGCTCCTGAAATGGCAAAGCACCAAGGGTCAACTCCAGGGATAGTCTAGGCTGCACAGATCCAGGCTTCTTCCTTATGGGTGTTGGAACATGAAAGGTCTTTACATTCTCTTACAGTTTGGGGAAGTGCTACTCCCCTGCAGTAGTGGACACTGTTATGTACTGCCTAAAACCCCCATCAAGACTGGGTATTCCTGCTCCCAGCTTCTGGGAGTATTTATGGAAGACAGCCATCAGTTTTCTTTGGGAATTATTTCTCTGAAGAGTTGCCTCACCCAAGGTCATGCCCTCCTCCCAGCGGCAACCCATATCCAATGAGTAGTCAGTATGGGGGTATAAAACCTGGCCTCTCATGCCAACTTGGGGCAACTCTGAAGAGCCATCCCGGCTCCAGAGCTTCCCCTGAGATCAGCTGTGGCGTTCACTGAGACTACACTGCAGCCCAAGTTCTCCCTCTGACCAATCCTACTTCTTTCCCTTCCGTTCCACAGGTGTTAATCCCGAGAGGATGCCCTAATACTTGTCTTTAGTACTAGCCCTGCATACTAGTCTTCATCTCGGAATCTGCTGTGCAAGGAACCCAGCCTGCACGTCATCTACTCACCAGACTTGGGGTTGCAGAGCACAGGGGGGCTGCTGCTGAGCGTGGGGCTGCTGCTAAAGTAGCCGCTACTGCCACAGCTGCTCATGCTGCTCCTCCTCACTGCAGACACGATCTTGATCTCCTTGCTAGGGCTGACTGTGTGGGCCGAAAAATACACATGGTCACTGAGGGTGGTGGTCGTGGGTCCCTCAAACACACTGGCTTTCAGCTACAAAGTACAGTAAGGTGCATCACAATTGCCAGGAAAAAGCACACTGGCCTTGGAGTCAGAAAAGCCAGGATTTGAGTTGCAGCTCTGCCACTTACCAACAGCACAAACTGGGGCCATTCCTTCACATCCCTGAGCCTCAATTTTCCTATCTGTAAGGTGGGAATAATGCTAACTCAAGGACTGGTGCTAGGAGTGTATTAGATAATGTACGTGAAAGTCCCCAGCTACATAAAACATTGCTTCCGGAATTAACAAGCCCAGGCTGAGCAGTCCCTGCTAGGATGTAAATTAAATACTGGTCATACACGTAATGAATTAACACTGAAAATAAATGCTTCCTGATTTCATATTAAACCATTAATTACCCAGAGCCATGGGAAAAAAAAAACAAAACCCACTGCCATTGAGTCAATTTCGACTCATAGAGACCCTATAGGACAGAGCAGAAATGCCCATAGGGTTTCCAAAGCTATAATCTTTACGGAAGCAGACCACCACATCTTTCTCCCAGCTGGTGGGTTTGATTCCTCAGTCTTTCGGTTAGCATCCGAGTGCTTAACCACTGCACCACAAGGGCTCCAGAGCCATGGAAGCAGCAGCTTAAAGTACAGAACACATATTTAGGTTTATGTGAAGCAGCATCTTCAATTATGTGATCTAGTTCTCTCTGCCATGGAGTAGGATGGCTCTCAACAGGGGGAAGAGGGCAAGGTACATGGTCAAATAAAAGATGCCAAGGAGAGCACTCTGCCCAGGGACTGGCCCCTGGGAAGCACACAAAAAATGCTAGCTTTTAAGGTGACCATGATTACTACATCTTCATCATCAACACTTGCTCAGGTCTACTGAGCCCACTTAAGACACAGGCAAACCTTTCTACCAATGAGAAAGTGAATAGTTAGTCGGCATTTGCAAAAGACTACAATCTTAAGGGGACACACAACTGGGGTGTCCTTTGAGGCCTAACCGAGTTGACTTCAGAGCACAGACTCAGGCTCCTGACTCAGTTTTTTACTTTCCCAGAGCAGCTTTTGGTCCCTTTTCTCCTCCAACCTGGATGTGTCTGAGGAACCTGGGATGTAAGGCACTGGGAAGGAGGCAGTGTAATATATAAGCACTGCCGTAGAATAGATCTGATCTACCACCTTTTAACCGTGTAATTGTGAGTAAGCCACTCAATTGCTCATGCCTAAGTTTCTTCACCTATAAAATAGGGGTAATAAAAGTCCCTCCTCTTAGGGTTATTGTGATAATCAAATGAGAAAATTTGTGCACCCAAGTGTGGCACAGTGCCTGGGGCACAGGAAGTTCTCAATACATATGGGTGTCATTGTTCTCATTGTCACCTCTTATTCGTAACTAAGACATGACACTTTCATTTTGTCCTAGGTTTAGGTCTTAGGTTAAGCCCAGTACTTCCAAACCTTAGGCCAGCCAGTTCCTTGAGGCAACGCCACATTTTCAGGAGAATTGAAGGTACCTCGTCTTCTTAAGCAGAATGACATTTACTTCAAGATAACCTTTTCTGGCTGAGTGGGGTAATCTTTGTGTACATCAATTACTATCATTTGTCAGGGATAATTGTAACTGTGAGACTGTTTGACTTTTCATGTAATGTCCCAGGCCACTGTGCTTTATGAGCTCTTATGTCTGTTTTTTATAGTTTTTCTTTGTTTTGCATCACTGTGGGAAAGCCTTGCTGCTGGGTTGATAACAGGTTGTCTTTTAGTTGTTGCCAATGCATTGCTGTTGTTGTTAGGTGTCATTGAGTCGATTTTGACATTTAGCGACCCCATGTAACAGAGCAGAACTGCCCATAGAATTTTCTAGGCTATTATCTTTTACATTTGTATTGGGCAAATCTGCTGCAAAAGACCTCTTTAAAGTGTTAAAAAGCATAGATGTCATTTTGAGGACTAAGGTACGCCTGACCCAAGCCATGGTATTTTCAATCACCTCATATGCATGCGAAAGCTGGACAATTAATAAGGAAGACTAAAGAAGAGTTGATGACTTTGAATTACAGTGTTGGTGAAGAATATTGATTATACCACGGATTGCCAAAAGAATGAACAAATTTGTACTGGAACGTTCCTTAGAAGTGAGGATGGTTGAGACTTCATCTCACATACTTTGTACATGTTATCAGGAGGGGCCAGTCACTGGAGGAGGATATCATGCTTGGTAGAGGGTCAGCAAAGAGAAGAAGACCCTCAAAAAGATGGACTGACACAGTGGCTGTAACAATGGACTCAAGCATAGCAATGATCATGAGGATGGAGCAGGACCGGGCAGTGTTTCCTTCTGTTGTACACAGGGTCGCTATGAGTCAACACTGACTCGATGGCACCTTACAACAACAACAATCTTTTACAGAGCAGATCATGAGGTCTTTCTTCTGTGGAGCCACTAGGTAGGTTCAAATCACCAACCTTTTGCTCAGCAGCCAAGTGCTTAAACATTGTGCCACTAGGGCCAAAGTATATGCCCCGAAAACCAAAAAAAACCAAACCACTGCCATGAGTCGATTCCAACTCACAGTGACCCTACAGGACAGACTAGAACTGCCTCATAGGGTTTCCAAGGCTGTAAATCTTTACGAAAGTAGACTGCCACATCTTTCTGCCATGGAGTGGCTGGGGTTTAGCAGCCAAGTGTTTTAACCACTGAGCTACCAGGGCTCCTTGTATATGTCCCTAGAAATTCCTTGTTCATCCTTAAAATAGACAATATTTCAAAGTCGTGACTTAGAAAACTGGATAATTGATGAAACTGGATAATTAATGATATGTAAGAATTGTTTGTAAGTTAAAATTAAATAAGCTCTGACTGAAAGCATGAAAGTTCTACTATAATCCAAGTACGTAATTAAAAAAACAAACAACAACAACACAAAAAAAACAGACTCCATGGCATCTAAGTTTGCTGCCCAGAAACAATTTGCTTTTTGACATACTTTTCACTATGAGTACATTAAAATTTGCTAGAAAACAGAATTGTAAAAAGGTGAGTTATTACTCTACTGTTTTTCCAAAGATAAATAAATGTGGTCAAACCACAGAACTGACAACATACCTGACATAAAACTGGTAGATTTCCGGTTGTCGTGGCTCTGCTTCCTGAGGCAGAAAGGACTGTCGTGAGTTTCCTGGGGGGAGGAGGACTTTTCATTGAGCAGCTCCATCAGTCTTCGCCTCCGACGGAAGTTCATTCTGAACTGGTAGAGTAGATTGCTGTCCACAAATGGGTGCTTATTGGACACTGCGGAGAAGAAACGGCAGATAAGGGCTGTCTGGCATCCTGGCCACTGAACACTGCAGCCAGAAGACTCCAGCCAACAGGGGCAAGAGTCTCAAGAAAGAGTTTAGTTCTATAGATGTGACAGGAGTCCACGCATGGTCCCAAATTCTTTCCATGTGTTATGCACTTTTAACATTAGCTAACCAATTCCTCTGGTAACTTTCCCTGACCTCACCCGTAACCTGAGTACACTCTTACTGGGATTCTTCCAGGCCCCAGTTTACCTCCGCCAGAGCACTTGAAGTATCCCTTTACTTCTCTGTCTTTCCCACTAAACTCTAGGCTCTTTTGGGGCAGTGAGTGTGTTTTTATCTACCTGTGTATCCAAAGTGTCTCATACAATGTTAATCTCCTAGCAGGACTTCAATTCATTTTTCAGCTTTTTATTTTGAAAATAATTATAGACTCAGAGAAAGTCACAAAAATAGTACATAGGGGTCCTGTCTAGCCTTCACCCAGCTTCCCCCAACAACATCTCCCACAAATAACCATAGTATAATATCAAACCAGGAAATTGACACTGGTACAGTCTTCAGACCTTACTCAGATTTCACCAGTTTTTACATGCATTGTGTGTATGTGTGTGTGTGTGTGTGTGTGCGCATGTATGCTGGTGTGTGTGTGTGCAGTTCTACACAATTTTATCACATGTATAGATATGTGTGACCAGCACTGCAATTAAGACACAGAATTATTCCATCATGACAAAGGAATTCCCTCTTGCTTCCTGTTTATAGTCATGCTTGCTCCCTTCTCCCCCTACCCCCACCCAGTCCCTAATCCCTGGCAACCACTAATCTGTTCTCCATCTCTGTAACTTAATCATTTTGAGAATCTTATATACAGGGAATCATACAGTATGTAACCATTTGATATTGATGTTTAATGATTAGTCACTAAGGAAAATCTATACTTTAGATCGTAATCACGCCAGACTATCAATTCAAAATCAAGAATAACAATAGCTAATTCTCATAAGCATTTTCTGTGAGTTCAGTACTATTATAAGTGTTTTATATGTAGGTACTGTTACTTTTTGAAGAGGAAATTGAAGGCCAGAGGTATTAGTAAGTCACCCAAAGAAGACATAGTAAATGGCCATGGTGGAAATAGTATCTTCCTCCAGAGTCCACGTTCCAAACCATAACTCTCTACTTTCTCTATGAGAAACAATTCCTGTGCTTATTTAGGTTCTCACAAACAATTGCAAAAATGTAACACAGAAGTGCTAATGCATGGCTGCTAGACTGAATTCCCACCCAACTCTACATTACTGTTTAGATTTTAGGGGTCTATGGAGGTCTATTTGCCTCTTCAGTTTTATACTTTGAATCCATGACTCCTGGGGTTATGGATCAGGTCTCTGGGTCATTTTGATCTCTGGGAAGTAACCAGGAACTCTCAAACTGGCTGAAGTCTCACCCCCACCGAAAAAAAATACAAAAGACTTAAATAGACTTCTCACACAAAAGATACAGAAATAGCTAATTAGTGCATGAAAAGAGGCTCAACTTCATTAGTCAATATGGAAATAAAAAATCAAAACCACCATGAGATGCCATTTCACACCCACCTAAACACTAAAATAAAAAAGAGTGACAATACCAAATGTTGGTGAGGATATGGAGCAACTGGAACTCCTGGTGGGAACATAAAATGGTATAACCATGTAAGAGAACTGTTTGGAAGGATCTTGTAAAGTTAAACACATATTTACTGGATGGTGCAGCAATTCTACTCCCAGGAATCTACTCAAGACAAATGAAAACACACGTCCACAAGAACGTTCACTGCAATCTTATTCATAATAGCCCAACACTGGGTACAACAAATGTCTATGAACACATAAATGGATAAATAAATTGTGATATATTTATACAAAAGAATACTACTTAGTGCTAAAAAGGGTTGAACTGCTGATATATGGATACCAAAGGCATTAAGCTTAGTGATGGTAAAACTAGACAGAAGTTGTTTTTTATAAAAAAAAAAAATATTCTTGGCAATTTTTTGTTGGTTTTTTTTTTTTGTTTTTTTTTTTTTTTGACTATGAACTCAAAAATTCTGGAAACCACTAGGAAAATAATCTAGTACAACCCATTAAGAACCATATTAACTCCTCTATCAATAATTCTAACTGGCTTAGTAGTCTCCTTCGGTACTTTACAAACAGCATACATAACATCCCTTCTAGGTCAACACCAGCAAATGCAATCTAGGGTTGTAACTGTGTCTATGGTTCATATTTGGTAGTGAATTAACTCTTCTGGTTACATGAATATCAGAGTCTCAGAAAGGTGAGTCTGTATTAAGAGAGTGCCACTGCCAATTTTACCCTAATGATTCATATGGGTGTTTCACAGTCTTTAAATAACAATAAACTATTCCCTTTGGCCAAATGAATGATCTTGTCCACAAAAACAAATAACACTAAATCCAGTGGTGGTTCTGCATGTTCTTAAGAGATAATCCATTCTTGGGTTCAGGAGACGCACACCGAATGCAATCTGGGGTAATTACGCTTTGAGGTGATATGTACAGACAGTGGCTCTCTTGTAGATAGCCAAATTCTTGCAGAAATTTACCATCACTATATTCTATACTAAAATTTTCTGGATTACTTATTTATTCCTAACAACATTTTCTGAGTTTATATGATTTTTAAAAATCCTCAAGTTGACTGTGGCAACAGTAAATCTTAAATTATAACCTGCAAATACATAACTTCTGTATATGTTTATTAACACCTCCTATTTCCATTTTGTACAGTGAATCACATGAAACCTTAACTCTTCACAAATAAATCCACAAAAGCATTCTGAATACAAACAAATTTCATAGCAGATAAAAAGTACTTGAAAAGTATTTTTAACTAAAGTGGAAATTTGATTACCAACGTAATCATTTGTATCATCAGATTTAATTAGCACCCAGAGTTTAATTCACCCCCTTTTCTTTATCAGTGTCACTCTGCCCCAGCTAACTATCATACTTGCCACCCCTGTACCACCTATAGCTAAAAGGGTAAATATATCATCTAAGATTAGATAAAAAGATTAAATGTAAATAGTGCTTTCTCATCACATTCTCTCCCCAGTAGGGCAGATGATCTTAAAAGCAGCCAAAACAAGGGAAATGAGGAAGGGATGAAATGTTAGGCTATTAGCATTAAGCACAGTGCCTAGCAAATTGAAAGAATTCAATAAATTGTACCTGTTATCATTGTACAACCACTGCTGTTGTTTTTATTGTTATTATCATTAACTTGGAGCCCTGATGGCACAGTGGTTAAGTGATACAGCTGCTAACCAAAAGGTCGGCAGTTCAAATCCACCAGCTGCTCCTTGAAAACCCTGTGGGGTAGTTCTACTCTATCCTCTAGGGTTGCTATCGGTCGGAATCAACCTGATGGCGACAAGTTTATCATTAACTTAAACACAGTACAATTTTGCCCTGATACACTATCATTTGGCTTATATGACAATTCAATTTTATGAGACATTACATTTAATACTCCACTTCCATTTTCAAGGACTGATGTGGATCTTACGTGCCTCAGGAGCAACTAAGCTCTGTAGAATGAGGGTGGCCACGTGTTCATCCTCCTAGGTGTGTGATGGGCACAGATGGAGTCAAGTTCTCTCAGAATAGAGAAGTGGCAATTGCATGTATAACTGCATGTAAATCTTCCACCGTTTTCACTGAACGATTTTGCCTTTGCAGTTCTTTATTTTCTCTCCTTAAGTTTAATGTCATGAACATTGAGTTTCATATGCTTGCTCTGTTTGTGAGTAATATATGTGATTACAGCTACAAAGCTGGAGGAGTACAGGTAGACAGCCATATGACAGTGTCAATAAATCATACGTGATAGTCATTCATTCACTCAACAAATGGAGTACCTGCTAAGTGTCATGCACTGTCCTAGGTATCTGTCTTAGCATTGTGATTGGAATATGACACCTTCTTCTGCTCACCCTATGTCTTAGCTATCTAGTGCTACTATAACAGAAATAGCACAAGTAGATGGCTTTAACAAAAATAAATTTATTCTCTCACAGTTTAGGAGGCTAGAAGTCTGAATTCAGGACACCAGCTCTAGGGTAAGGCTTTCTCTCTCTATTGGCTCACAGTTTAGGAGGAAGGCCCTTGTTTCCTTTTAGCATCTGTGGGCCTGGCTTTCTTTGGAGATCTCCATGTGTCTTGGCATCAATCTTCCCCTAGGTCTAGAAGCTTCTCAGCTCAGGGACCCCAGATCCAAAGGACACAGTCCACTCCCAGCTCTTCTTTCTTTGTGGTAGGAAGTTCCTTTCTCTTTCTGTCAGCTCTGGCGAAGGTCCTTGTATTAATCTTCCTCTGGGTCTAGGAGCTTCTCAGTATAGGGACCCCTGGTCTCCAAAGGACATGCTCTGCTCCCAGCTCTTCTTTTTTGGTGGTACGAGGATCTCCCTTTCTGCTGGCTTCTCTTTTCTTTTAGCTCTTGTAAGATAAAAGGTGATGCAGGCCACATCCCAGGGAAACTCTGCTTACATAGGATTAGGGTTGTGACCTGAGTAAGGATGTTGTATCCCACCCTAAGCCTCATTAACGTGACCTAATCCTGCCTCATTAACATAACAGACAACTCACTCCCAAATGGGATCATAATCATAGGCATAGAGGCTAGGATTTACAACACATCACAAAATGGAGGATAAACAGATGACAAAATGGAGGATAAACAGATCACAAAATGGAGGACAACTACACAATGCTGGGAATCATGGCCCAGCCAATTTGACACATATTTCTGGGGGACACAATTCAATCCATGACACCCTAGGATAACATTTCAAGCTCATTAATACCAAAGACTGCTAAAAGAGACAGTTTCATACCAGAAGAAAACAAATAAGTTGGGACTTTATTGAAAACTCTCTTATGCTAAATAATAAACTTTTAGAAATAATGTCATAGAATGA